GACGCCCTTGATATCGAGACCACGAGACGCAAGATCCGTCGCCAAAAGGTAGTTGACCTTTCCGTCGCGGAAGTTTTCAACACTGGCAATTCTCTGTAAACTTGGTCAGCAGTTGTATTCAATCAAGAAGAAATTGTAAGAACTCACCTGAGCTTGGTTCATGCTACCGTGTAGCTCTGCGCAAGACAAGCCAAACAGTCCAAAGATGATTCTTGCTCGGTGAGCGTCCTTCTTTTGGCGGAAGAAGATGATGACACGCTCGGTGTGCATTGTCTTGCAGATGTGCACGAGGTAGCCCATGCGCTTCTCCTCGCGACCGGGCCTCAGGCGTACAAACTCTTGCACCAAGGTAGTGACGGTCTTGTTCTTTTGTGAGTCCACCATGACTCTGGCGGGCTTGTTCATGCCCACTCGCACCAGCCTGTCGACGGAAGATGTCATGGTGGCGGAGAACAGCATCGTCTGTCTTGACTTGGGCAGGGTCGTCAAGATCTCGTTCAATTCATCGGCGAAACCATCCTCAAGCATGCGATCGGCTTCGTCGAGCACGAGAATCTCCACGGTATCGACGTTGAAGCTGGCAGAGTTTCTCATGTGGTCAATGAAACGACCGGGCGTGGCGATGATAACGTCTGGCCTCAGTCTCAGCTCGACCTCCTGAGCCTTGAGACTCAGACCACCAACAGCGAGAGTGAACTTGATATCGGTGTAAGCGGCCAGCTTGGTGGCGACAGCGTGACACTGGATAGCCAGTTCACGGGTAGGAGTGAGGATGACGACACGGCTCGTCGGCACCTTCTTGGGCCTGTACAGGAGACGCTCGAGAATGGGGACCACAAAGGCGGCCGTCTTTCCTGAACCAGTTACCGCACCACCGACAACGTCCTTGCCCATCAAGGCAATGGGCACAGTCTTGGCTTGAATGGGCGTAGGCTTGGAGAAGCCGACAGCAGCCAGACCTCTCAGAAGAGGACGTGAAAGAGACATGGCCTGGAATGATGATGCCGTATCCTTCTTGCCGGGCTTTGCAGGCTCCTCGGGGGCGAAGAAAGCGTCACGCTTCGCTTGTTCTTCTGCGTCTTCCTCCTCTTCATCATCAGATCCACGGTCGTCGGGATGATCCACGGGTGTCGCAACGGAATCGTTGTCGGATGCTGCATCGTCGTCGTCTTCTGCATCATCTGCGTCCTCTGCGTCAGAGTCTTCTTTTTCGGCATCAGAATCTTCGGCACCAGGATCCACGCCCATGCCAAAGGCATCGTCGGCCAGAACTCCATCCTCGTCGTCGTCGAGGTCGATATCTACGTCCATGTCGTTATCCACCTCGGCGTCTGCCGCAACCTCCTCTTTGTCCTCCTTCGGCTTGTCCTCGCCACCCTTCTTTGCCCGTCTTCTGCGAATGATTTCGTCCAGGTCAACACCCGCTGCAGCATTGCTGTTCATGGACTTCTTTGCGCCTTCGAAGCCCCAACCCTCGAGTTCTGCGTCGCCGAATTCGATGGCATTGTCTTGCGCAAATTCAAAATCCGAATCCATAGCACCATCGTCTTCGTCTTTCTGGCCCCAGATACCCTCGGCGACTTCGTTCTCTGGCGACTCTTCTCTGGCGGCCTTTTTCGACTTCTTGGTGGCCTTCACCTTCTTTTTGGGCGGCGGTGCCACGGTCTCCTCCTCGACAATTTCCTCGTCATTGTCGGAGATTGTGTGAACGAAGTCGTCGTCAATCTGCTTGCGCTTGTGAGAAGGCGCCATGTTGAGTGGTGGAATGGTGGTTGAGAAAGACAGTTGTCGGGACCGCGGGGTATCGTCAAGCTTTCACACACACGCCTGTTCTCACACTCCAGCAGTTCCCAGAGCCAGAAATTTTTCTGGACGGACGGTGGAGCTAAACTTTTTCTGCCGTCTTCAGAGACCATCCCCCTGTCATGGGCGGTCAGACGCGAGACTATTGGGATAGAGTGGGCCTTGGATCGTTCGTTCATCAGAAGGAAGAAACAAAAGAAAAAGATACGTACTGATCTGGACTGGGACTTATGCACGTGATGGTGTTTGTCATCAGATTTTAGGGGCAGGGGCAACTCCCGATAGACCCCACCATGGTTGATTGGGCGACCATTTTATTGGCAACAATTTTGGCAGCCTTCACGCCGGGCGCCGACAAAGCAACGAGATTTAATTTCTGCCCTGTTGCTCTACAACTTGTCATTTTTGGTCCTAACCAATCTCGGCACCTTACTACTTTCCACACGTCTCCTTCTCGACTTCTTCGACCACCAACACCCACTACTACCAACCGCGTCTCTGCTTCTCTCGAGCGCCCTTGCGAATTTCCTTTTGACATCCATCCCGAGCGCGTTTTCCCGATTGTCAACACAGTTCCGGCCGCAGAGGCAAACACACACATACAAAATGGGCGAATCCAGGTGGGCAAAGCTTCCATCCCCTTCCATCGCGGTGCTACATCCGGCAGCATCTTGGACGTTTGCGCCTCGCAACTGTTGGCTGACACGGCATGGATTTCCAGACAAGAACTCATCCAGTGGCTGAACCAGCTTCTCTCTCTCAACATCACAAAGGTCGAGCAATGCGGTACCGGGTACGTTGCTGATCGGATACCCCTCCCCCGCCATGTGTTTATTGTGGGACCCAATGATGATTTTGATGATGGTGGTTGCTAATGTTTCGTTTCAATCTGCAGTGCAGCTCTCTGCCAGGTGTTTGACAGCATCTTCATGGATATCCCCATGTCTAGAGTCAAGTTCAACGTCAACAGCGAATATGCATACATTCAGAACTTCAAGGTGCTGCAGAGTAAGTTTGCGCCTTCCCACGCCGTCTCGCCTCTGCGTCCACCTCCATTCCATCATACACGGAAACGAATAGTCATGGCTGACAAGACACTTCCTGAACAGACTGCTTCCACAAGCACCAGGTCGACAAGCCCATCCCCGTCGAAGCGTTGGTCAAGTGCAAGATGCAGGACAACCTCGAGTTCCTGCAATGGACCAAGAAGTTCTGGGACCTGAACTTCCCCGATCAGGAGTACGACGCCGTCTCCCGGCGAAAGGGCGCCCCCGTGCCCTCTGGCGGTGGCCCTGCTCCTCGTGCCGCGTCCGGTACCGGTGCGGCTGCCGCCAGACGGGGCGGTACCACACCCCTCGGCGGTGCACGTGTTCCCAAGGCGGCAGGCCCCGGCACAGCTGCCCTGCAGCAAGAGAACGCCACTCTCAAGGAGACGGTCGTCGGCCTCGAGCGCGAGCGTGACTTCTACTTCAGCAAGCTCCGCGATATCGAGCTCCTGGTGCAGCAGGCCGTGGAGGAGGACCCTGAGCTTGAGAAGCAGGAGGACGGCCTCGTCAAGCAGATCCAGACTATCCTGTACTCGACGGAGGAGGGATTCGAGATCCCGGCTGAGGGCGAGGCTGTCGACGACCAGGAGACCTTCTAAATCGGGAGGCTTTGAGGTAGGGCGACGATGACACAGATGGAAGAGAGGCTGTATTGTTGGATGGGAGGTTGTGTTCAGGGGATTTGGGAGGTAAAAGCACATGGGTTTGGCGCTAGTACAAATACCCTACGGCACGTAATAATCATTATACTGGCGATGAGGCTGAGCGGCCCTCGGACTGTCGAGACAGGAGTCGGTCAGAGCTTGCGGCAGTCCCGTTCCACATGAGCAGCCATGATAGAATCAGAACGTTTTGTCTGAGAACCTCGAGTCAGTTTTCGTGGGTGACACGAAGAGAGTATGAGGGCTTGAGCCAAGCGTCCAAGACCACATTCCACTATGGCTATCCGGTTCCTTTTGGCGTGCTTCCGATCTTACGTTTGGTACTGCAGGATCTGGTTCTTATCATAGAAGTGTAAGCCTCGACTTCACACCCATCACAGAGCGGAAGTCGAGTCTGTAGTCTGAGAGCTGTGTGAGACTGTTCACTGCAGATGACTTGGCAGAAGCGTCATGTTATGCTCGAGTAGTTTATGCCGGCACGCTTTGCATATTGACTCTTAAGTACTTACTTCCAAACTTGGATTTCTACAAAAGTACATTGATCGATTACCAAGAGACGTTTCCATCAATATATGACATTACCGTACGAGTCACTACAATAGTATCGATAATCATTTATGTTGATCGACCAGATGTTGATTAGATCGGACTTGGGTTTCACTGTCATCAGCGCCCAGTTCCTGGCCTGATTGACCAGGTGCCTGAGAAAGCGAGGTGCCCAGCTGAGCATGTCCCAGAAATGCGGTCATTCCTGCTGCGGGCCCAATTTTAGTGGTTCCACGCAATGCGCCACAGGCGTCAGCTTTGGAGCAATTAGCGGCACACGACCGTCGACTTACCCGACTCTTCCAGTGCCAAAAGTGCTACCTAGGCCCAAGCAGGCTGCCGTGTTAGGGAAGCTGGGGTTGACAGGGGACCTCGAAGTAGCAATCCAGGCCCATGCTGAGGCACTGCACAAGCGTACCGGGACAGCAAGGTACCTTGGTTCCAGTACATTGACTGGAAACCTGAGGTGACCGCTCTCTCTTTCTCACTCCCGTCTCCTTCCCTCCAGACGACTGAACGAAAGGAGAGACAAGAACCTCAGACATTGCCCCGAAACTTTTTTTTTTGAACCTGACGCAAACAACTGACCAAGGCCATCATTCCGACCACCAAACACGGAAAGATACTTGACCAGTACGACGGCTGTCTTTTGTTGTTTTGCGAGCCATCCCATTTCCTCAACGTTATCTAACCAACGACCGACGACCTCCAGAGGAGCGACAAGAACAACAGAGCATCGATTCTCTCCATCTCTACAACCTGCCATCGACGACTAGAGCTACGATACAGACCACCAGGCTCGTCCGAGCCTTCCTCCCGCCTCGTTCAAACCCGACAAACAATCCCATCCTCCGCTCATCGCCAATCTTCAAAAACAAAACTCTGTTTTCTACACAACTTCCCGCCTCGAACAAACCACAACAACACACACCCTTCACACACAATGGCGCCTCCCGCCGAAATCTCCATCCCCTCAACCATCCTCTCGACCGGCGAATCGAAACCCTACACCCTCTACAACATCACCCTCCGCCTGCCCCTCAAATCCTTCGTCGTTCAAAAGCGCTACTCCGACTTTGCATCCCTCCACCAGACCCTCACCTCCCTCGTCGGCGCCGCGCCCCCCAACCCCCTCCCGGGCAAGTCCTGGTTCAAATCCACAGTCTCCTCCCCAGACCTCACAGAACAACGCCGAAAGGGTCTCGAAGCCTACCTTCGAGCCATCGCAGAGTCCCCCGACCGCCGCTGGCGCGACACCTCGGCCTGGCGCACCTTTCTCAACCTCCCTAGCACGGGCGTCGGCAGCACGGGCAACTCGGCTGCCAGCGCCCACGGCCTCATCACCAGCGGTCGCGCGGGCGCCGCCGACCCGACGACCTGGCTCGATCTGCACCGCGAGATGAAGAGCTGCCTCCACGACGCGCGGAATCAGCTCGCGAGAAGGGACGGCGCCGTGGATAGTAACAACACCTCTGCTGCCGCCGAGGCCGGGGCCGCTGCCAAGAAGGCGCTGGTCAAGGCTAATACGCTGGTGAGCACCCTCGCGGACGGGTTGAGGGCCATGCAGGAGGGCGGACGGCTCGGCGACGGCGAATTGCGGCGCAGGCGAGACCTGCTCTCCTCCGCTCGCGTCGAAAGGGAAGGGCTCGACAAACTCAGCAACAGCATGGCGCAGGGAAGCAGCAGAAACGGTGGCGGCGGACCCGGCGGACGGGAAGGGTGGGCCTCGGCGGGCGACAAGGCTGCATTACTCGGCAGAAGCGGCGGCGGCGGTGGGGCGAGGACGGGCGGACGGGTCCTGGGGGCCCCGCTGCCGGAGACGGAGCGGACGCGGGAGCTGGACAACAACGGGGTCGTGCAGCTACAGCGGCAGATGATGAGCGAGCAGGATGAGCAGGTGAATACCCTGGCGGCGATTGTGCGGCGGCAAAAAGAGATTGGGCTGCAGATCAACGAGGAGGTGACGGAGCAGACCAAGATGCTGGACCGGCTGAACGAGGACGCCGATCGGGTCGGGGGCAAGATTGATGTCGCCAAGAAGCGTATCAAGAAGTTTTGACGCGGGTCGCTGTCAGAGGAAGAGGTTGAGGAAGTAGGGACGGTGATTGTGACGGGTACGGTGCCTCGGCCTACAGCAGCACCGCCGTTGGTTGTCGCGGGCGGTCTCGCTGCTCGGTCCGTGGTTGCTGTCCTCGGTGTCGTGGTGTGGTTTCTTTGGGTCGGCGGGCGGGTATTGGATTCTTTTGCATGGTGCCTGGAGTTTGGGTCCGTCTTGTTGGTCGCGCGGGCTCGTCGATGAAATTCACCTAACCATACCCTTCGTTCGGTATGAGTGGATGGTTTTTCTTGCCTGGACAGTACAACGACGTTTTACGTACGCGAGTACGAAGGGGGCTTCTTTTTTTTTTCTCGACAACTTTACATACTTTGCAACAATAGCGATTTCAACTCATTTTTTCTCTCTGATCATTTCTCCTAGTTTTGGTCTCTTTTGTTTGTTTTTTTCCGAGTTGAGATTGGAAATACCAGTGTGTCTTACCTCATGGCAGTTCTAGCTTGGGAGTTTTAAGTTCTATCCAGATTGATGTTTTACTCATTCATGATTACATTGTCCACACATGCAGATCAGAACATGGGTTTCTGCCGGAGCAAAGCGTAGATCGTGCTGGCATTGGTGTTGCCATATACCCATGTACAGCAGTAGAATGGCCAACTCACTGGGCCTTACCGTTGAATTCCTACAGCGGTGTTCCAAATACGTACTCACCACCGGTGTGAGGTTACCGACGAGGCTGTGTGGCCTAGGTTGTATCGTTATTTACAAAGCCAAGAGACTGGAATCTTGCGCCTGATGGAGCCTTTTTGAGGCGAAGTCTTTACTCGTGCAAAGTCACCCTAACAAGGTAGACAAGATTGAGCTCGTCTGGGAAGCTTCGATGGGCCAGTCACCCGCATGGCCTAGTACGCGCCCTTGAACGCACTCGGTCTGAGGCCGTAGGCCAATTATGTAACGCCTTTCCCTCCAGGCTCAATGGATCTTCTATCAAATTCTGGCGCTAGAAGGAGGCCGTCCATGTTGCATTGGTGAGCATAAACAGATTGATGTCAAAGAGCTCGGCCAACAGGTTGTAAGAGGGGGGCTCTTGGCCATAGTTGATACCCTCACGCTTGCACGTAGAATCCCGATTATGCCAAGACAACATGATGTACCAGAGGCTGCCTCGGATGCTGACCTATATCGCCAGCCTTACTGCAGCAGCCATGTTATCCCAGGACAATCAGCTCTAGGAGATCTCGGAAGTCGGGAGATGCAGTAGGGGACGCGACGATGCTGTGTTTCTCTCGCGCCGGACCGTTCCTCATGCACATGCAGACGGCGGTTGCTTACGGACGGGGACCCCCTGCCGTTATCGAGTGGCGGGTTGGTTGCATGCAGTTGCCGTCACATCGCCCTGATTTCTCCCTTTTTCGCCTCGTCGCGGGAAAAGAAATGTGAAGCACGTGGTCATTGGGCGAAGACTGGAGACTAGGGAGGGCCGATATAATTTTGGTGTATGCATGCGCAAAGTGAAGCCATCGTCAGTTTGGCTGTTTTTTGCGTCTCTCGACTCAACCTTTGGCTGCCTGGATGTTGTGTCGAAGTATCTGTATCCGTAAAGTCAGCGGTTGCCGGCCGGCAGAAAGACGTTTAGTGTGGCACGGTGGCACGTTGTGGCCACGCCCTCTTGGTGACATTTGGTACGTCACCCGAGCGCCGGGATGGGGCACACCGTACACCCGACGGTGCAAGGGACTTCCCGCGGTTGCTGGGCAACGACTCCGAGGCACCGTTTCCAAGAGGGGGAAAGTTTAAAAAAGGTGTGAAAGAAAAAAACGACAAAGAGGGAGAAGAGTCGAGACAGAAGCACCACCCTGCTCCACCACAACGACCGTTGAGATGAGATGACGCCGCATTGTCACAATTGGCGCCCAACGGTGCCCTGCTTGCCCAGCCTGGCTCATTGCAATGTTGCAGTCGCAATCGCAGTGTTCGCCCGATCAGCCGTCGTATTCGAGCCCATCGAGTATTGAACCTAATCGACCCAAGGGAAACCCAGTGAGCTGGGCGCGAGAGCAGGATGATGAAAGTCGAGGTGATTGCGACGATACTCCCTCCGTACGGGACCGGCGGAGGTCGTGTGGACTCCGTCGACGGTGGCTCTCCTCTTTTCCCCCTCCTGCTACTCTCCCGCACCGCCCTCCTACTGTGTATGTCCAAAGTGGATGTGCTGGCGCCGAGGGCCTGCCGCCTATTACCGGGGGAAATAGCCTCAAGACCCGCGATTCGCTGCCATGGCGTCCCAGGTGGAGCTTTCTCTCTGTGATTCCGAGTGATTCCCAATGATTGACCGCTCAGACAGACCGCATGCGACTCGGTTGATAGCCTGTCACAGGCAGGAGATTGAGTGAAGTCTTAAGATTGGACCGTTAGAAGAGGGGAGGAGGGTCTGAATCGGAGGCGGTTTGCTCGATTGAGCTGGGCGAAGAGGGTCTTGGTGGTCTCGGCAACGGTGATTTGTTGTGATGATCTGTTGGCGATGAGTGGACAAAGTTCGTTCGCCGTTCTTTCGTTGGCTGATGTCCTTCCTTTGCAGTATTGATGATCGAAGGAGGATAGCGAGAGGTCATCCTGCAGGCGTAGTGAACAGGTGGAAGCATCTGGATGTTTATTCGTAAGGGAAATAAACGCCTAGGTATCGCGGTGTCTGCTGGGAGCGGTGGCTGGGGCTTGGTCATCTGGCGGTTTGGATTTTTTGTCTTATTTTTTCAGGGTCCCGTTGGTTGCAAGGAACATCCTCTCAGGTATGAGGTGGAAGCTAGGATGGCAGTCTTTTCCCGACGAACGCTCAGTTGGCATTCCAGTCCGGCCAAGGACATTACCCCAGGCGGCCATATGCAGGTGCAACGGGTAAAGAACAAAAAGTTCGAAGCTAGCGAACTGAAAGCAGAGAAACATAAGGCACAAGGAGATGGGGTTGGAATGGAGTTGTTCTGAGACACAAAACACCTATGTACAAAGTAGTACGCAGTACGTAGTGCAGCTGGCGGCAGCACCTGCCATTCGGTATCGGGTCTGAGTGCCCAAGTGCCTTCCTTCCTTCAGCTCAATTCGCAGCTGTCAAAATGTCACCATTCCTTCGCTTAAGAGAGGTCAGAGTGTGTATAAGTGGGTCTGCTATAACGATCAGAAGGGTCTCTTTTTGTTCTCTTAGTGTCTTTCAGCGTCTTGAAGTACCTAAAAGGACGTCGGTACGTACTGCCAGCCACTACCTAGCGCCCAGTCACACACCACCCCCAACTTTGACTCCCCCAAAGTCCTCCACCACCACCACCGCCAGTCTACCACCATCCGCCGCTACCTCTCCACCCGGTCGCCCATGAGAAATTCCCAAAGTAAACACAAAAGAATTCCTGGCCCCTTCTCGTCCCCTTCCCCGTCATATTTTCCCTCAACACCACCACCAAACCCGTCCTCCACCAGGAACGGCGCCGTGTCACCAGACAGCTCTATTCCCTCTAGAACTTCCTTACTAACCAGCAGGGCAAGTTCCAGAACAACAAGAATATTTTCTTGTCTCAGCCTGCTTCCCCGCGATCGGACACAATCTGGACCACCAAGCACCCGCCACCTGCAAAAAAGCGCAAGGCCGGAGCGGGAAGACCACGATTCATTCGGCCCAGGCACCAAGCATCGACGACAAATACCTCTCAAGAGACCCGATCCGACCCCTCTCTCGCTTTGACGTCTTGGTCTTTGCCCGTCTTTTTCTTGCTTGGCTTCTGGAGTTTGTTTTTCTGCATTGTTGCTTGTGAGTACTTTTATTACAAACTGCTTTGCCCTTTTCTTTCCGCCACTCTATGCCTTGCTGCTGGTCTTCCCACTGCCACTTCTTGCCTTCCAGCTATCAGATGGCACACAGTTTTGCTGCTGCTAGGAGAAGAAGAATTGCTCATGGCTTCTGTGCAGACGCTTCACGATATAACGACCGTCAATGGACCTCCTGAGATACCACTAGACTTCTGCTTGCTTCACTACCCTCTACCGAGACCTCAGGTCTCCAAAAGAGCTTCAAGGCTCTTATTCCAACCACCTCAGTCGGCATTCACTGCCAAAAATCACCAATCTCCACCAAGAGGTGAGGTCCGCTCAGCATGAGCGCTCCTCCACCGCCTCCGCCTCATGGCGAGGCACCCAAAACCACTGCTGGCTCTCCGCCTCCTGGGAGTGGCCTGGGCCCAGGCAATTATGATATATTCGTCATTCCCCAGCGCGATAAAGGCGGTGGGTTCATATATTTGCCTTCACTGGCCCCCAATGGCCCTAGCTTCGCCGCTGGCTTCGCATGCGCCCTTGTCATGGTCGTCATGTTCCAGAGCATGGCCCCTGCTTTCAAGGCATGGTGGTTTACCTACCAAGGCATGGGCAACATGGGTATGGCTCTGCTTGTCATAGCCGTCGGCGTGGGAGCGTGGGCTTGGGGCAAGTCGCAGAACCAGGGCGCGTCTACAAATAACGGCTCGAGTGGCTACCGTCCCGGCCCTGGTGGCTATGGCTCAGGCGCAAACTTCAACAACTACGCGAATGCTGGCCCGCCGCCGCCTCCTCCGCCTCACGGCAATCAATATAACAGCCCTCCCCCGAACAGCCCGCCGCCCAATCACGGCGCGGGAAACGGCGGTCCTAGGTCTCAATGGCAAGAACGACCTCAGCCTCCACCCCCTCAGGAACCTGAAGCTGAACCTGAGCCAGAGCCGGAACCTCGGAAACCAGATCCTCCTCCCCCACCAAAACCAAAACCTGATCCGCCGAAAGCAAACACCTGGGAGAAGGCACGGGAGGAGACGAAGAAGCGCGAACAGGAGCGCAAGGCAAAGGAAGAGGAAGAGCGCCGAAAAGCAGAGACGGCACGGAAGCTGAGGGAGTTTCGAGAGAGAGAAGCTCGAGAACGAGCGAGGAGGGAGCAAGAGGACCGCGAAAGGCGAGAAAAATTGGAGCAAGAAATACGCGAAAAGGAAGAC